ATAAATTGTTGGACATAAAAATGATGAACCTCACCTAATTCACAGTCTTTTAAAAAGGGGGTCATGCGCAGTTTTTTGAGGTGTTAAACATATCCATTACCTTTATTGTGACGGGCTTGTCACGTCACATGTCAAAACTGGGTAAATTATACACTTTAAATATGTGCTGCTCATGGTATGTCATTTTCAACTCAAGCTATACTAAAATCATCATGGTAGACTAAAAAATAATGTGTACTGTCAGCACTTTTCCTTTGTTAAAATATTAAAGTCAAGTACACTTAAAGCATGTTTTAAAATAGTGCATGTAACATCCATTTTTAGAAACTTGCCTTTTGCTATTTTTATGTGCACAATTCGTTATGTCATTTTTTATAGAACACTTTTTTAACATCATAATTTTATTGACATATTACACATTCCAATATATCTATTTACGTACAATTCTGTGGTTCAATCCCATCAGATGGGATTCTTCAATCATTGATGCCCCCCACACACACCTTCTGTACCTCAGGGAGCCACCACTCCTGTCGCTGTCTCGCTTTTTAAAACCTGGCTTTGAAAGCAGTGAGTGAAGGGGAGAGACTAGCTAGGAATGCAGTTCGGTTGATGGGGTGTTTGCTTAAATAAGGTAGCAGTTGGAGTGTGCTGCTCAGCTCAGGAGCATGATCCGGCAAAGAAGGAGAAGCCACGGCTGACAAGCTAGAGGGCGTGATAGAGGAGGAGAGTCTGGGAGGGTGTTCTAGGAGGTGGGCATGAGTCAGGACTCCCATTCTGTGAGCTGAGAGGAAGAAAACTGGTATACATACACATGGATTTGTAAGCTCGGGGGTGGAAGGAGAACAGTTTGTCCCCCTCTGTATGTTTGTCTCCATTGTGTTATCTTCATTCATTTTGGTTTTTAGTTTCAGTTACTTTAGTGGAACTAGGGAAGTGCTCTCCTGGAGGAGGAGGGGAAGGATGCGACGTTTAGATTGTCTCGAGAAGAGAGAGGAAGCTGACTAGCGACCCTGAAAGTGTCCAGCAAAGCTGCTGTCACACAGTTGTTTGGGGAGAGGCTGCAAAGATTCCACTTAAAAACTCCCTTATTCTGTTTTCCCAAGGACTTCTTTGAAAGCCCCTTGCATGCAAGAGGGGCTCGGCCTAGAGGTTTTGGGAGAATACCAAAAGCTGCTTTCTGGGTGGTGGTCTTGATCACTCCTTTTCTACGTCTGCATTCCGGGAAATAAAAATGTTATTATAAATTTGGCAGTGTTTGAGGCCTTTGCCTTCACTAAATCTTGGTCAGATTCCCCAAGGAAGCCATCAGGTCCAGGGCTTTGCTTGGTTGGGTGGTTTTGATCACAGATTCAATCTCTTCCCTTGTTAAGGGTCCTTTGAGACTCTCCTGTTGAGTCAGTTTGGGTAGGTTGTGTGCTTCTAAGAATTTGTCCATTTTATTTAATGCCTTCATTAAATTTTAACTGCACAACAATATCTTCTAGAATAATTAAGACAGTATAGAAGGTATAGAATGAGACATGGACGTTTCTCTTTACATATACAGTCTCCACTTGTCTCCTGTTAACAGATTGGTGCGTTTGCTTCCAGAATATTTTACTTCAGTCTGTGCATACATAACCACATGCACATATGTACGCACACATGATACCAAGAAAAGCAGACTCACCGCCATCAAATAGATCCTGACTCATACCGAGTCTAATAGATTCTGACTTATATTGACCCTAAAGGACAGAGTAGAGCTGCCCCTTTGGGTTTCTGAGACTTTAAATCTTTACAGGAGCAGACAGCCTCATCTTCTGCAGTGCAACTGGGGGGTTCAAACTGCTGACCTTGTGTTTAGCAGCCTAATGCATTACCCACTATGCTACCGGGGCTCCTGTACTCATAACAGATCTTTTAAAAACATACATGGATTCACAATACTATCATTAGCTTGCTTTTTTTCCCACTTGGTATTGTGTCCTGGTGATTTTTTTCTATGTTGGTACATATAGATGTTTTAATCTTTCTGATGCATATACATTAGTGTTCCATGGTACAGATGTACCATAATTCATGTAGCATTTTAATTTGTTTTGAGCTTTTCACTATTAAATACTGCTTGTGTATAGCCTTGTGTATACAAGGTTGTAGGTGCTTTTGCACACATACACCGATTTCTGACATTAAATAACCTAGAGGTAGAATTCTTCTGTCAAAGATTATGAACATTTACATTGGAATCGATACTTCCAAATCCCCATCCAAAATGGTCACACCAGTAGATTCCTGCCGCGTGAGCGCATTTATTTGTGCATGCCTGTACTACCCTGAATGTTACTTCCTTCCATTGTTGACATTCTGGTGGCTAAAAAATGACTAGTTTTAAATGTGTAGCTTTTATATTACACTAAACAATTTTCATTTCCAGATCTTATGAAATTGCTTTTGTCACTTTTTACAGGATTGCCACTGACTTATGAGAACTCTTTAAATGGTAATGATTTTGTCTGTTATATAGGTAGGGGATATTTTTTTCCAGACTGTTGGTTTTAGAACTGGTTTCAGATTTCGATGTAATCAAACCCACTATTTGTTTCCTCCGCAGTGGGCTCTTGGTCTTGCTTAGGGATGCCTTCCACACTGCAGGCCCGGGGAGGTGTCTCCCTTGTGCAGGGGCGCATTGGGTTTACGCCCTGCTGGCCAGCAGCACCCTGCACACACCTGTGGTCCCTGAAGGGTTTTGATTTTTAAAGGGAAAGCAGCTCTCCTTTTGTTTATTATTGACCCCTGGTGATTTAAAGACCCCCACCCCCACGCTCTCACAGCACTGGACTTACAGGTGAGATACAGGTAGGTGAGGAAGAGAGCATGGGTTGGGCTCTTTGTGTCTGGTGGACAGGTGGGTAGAACAGCCCGCTGAGCTGCGTGTGCTCTGCTGCCCCCTGCTGGCCTCCTCTGTGCTCTAGCAGCCGCAGCACTGGGGGAACAAGGCTGACTGGAAGCAGGCGCCCAAAAGGTTTTATTAGGGTGTTCAGTGTTCACACGTGTCCCAATCACTTAAGGCCCTATTTCACAAGACAGATTTTCTGGAGGGTGTTAAACGATGTATCCCTACTGGTTTGGGTGGGTTTGTTTGTTTGTATGGTATTTTCTGTTGAGCTCTGAATCCAACAGATTAATCCACCAATTAATAACCTGCAAATGGTGGGAGGTAGGGCACTATCATTGTAGATTCAAGCACAGAAACCAGTATTCTAATATGGAATGTTTCCAGGGAAGTAATTCTGTGACGGAATCCTTTTGCTAGGCCCAGCAGGTCGCATGTTTGACTGCTGAGAGGCAATTTGGAGGCTGAGTCTACCCAGAAGTGCCTCAGAGAAAGGCTGGGCACTCTGCTTTTGAAAAAAACCTGTCTTTGAGAACTGTGTGGGGCGTAGTTCTACTCTGAAACACAGTGTTACCACAGATCAGAATTGCCTTGGGTGGGAGAGGAGGGGCGGATCTGGAAAGATATTACAGGTGTTTTGCCTTGAAGCACTGATACCTTCTTAAGTATTACTTTTTATGTACCTTTTGTTTATTCCTTTTTGTGAAGCAGCTACATATTGGGGGGAGAAAAACAAACCCAAAACTATCAAATGCATTTGGACTCATAGCAACCCTACAGGTGAGAGCGAACCCATGGCTGTACATTTTTTTGTTAGTAGACAGCCTCATCTTTCTCCTATGGATGGGCTCGTGGGTTTGAACCGCCAACCTTTGGGTTAGCAGCCCAACACTTAGTGCGCTGGGCCATCAGGACCCCTTGCATATTTGGAAGTTGCTGCTTGTTAACATCTTCATTACTTAAATGAGGGCGATAACTTTTCCATCTAATATGTAAATTATTCAAAGTATAGGCTTGTATCTCCCCCTTGTTTTATTGTGTGGGACATTAAATACAAGTCTTATAGCAGTCAGTCTAAGTTTATAGTAAAGACAGATCTTTAAGAAAGTAGACAATCAACTGCAGTAACAAAGATGTGGAGAAGGGAGACGGAAGGAAGAAAATAGCAAGAGGGGGAAGGAAAAGAGAAAAGGAAAGGAGAACTCATTCATTGAAAGACAGGAACAGAACAAAGGGAGGGGGAGTCATCCCGTAGTGAAAGTTTTTCTGCTGCCCCATCATCTGTCCCTGGCTTTCCTCTTTCAGCCTTGTGTTAGGCAGGGTTCTCTAGAGAGAAAAACCAGGACACTTATGATTTTATATATATATAAAATATATATATCCATATATATATATATGGATAGGTTTATATAAAGCGAAGGAATACAACAGCTAATTGGTCCACACAGCAGTACAAGGGCTCAGTTCAACTCACTTTTGTGGGACAGTTAATATACTGAAGGTCCTTCCAACTCACACAGGCAGCTGGCCCCAGGTCAAGGATGCAGACAAGGAAGTAGCTGGTGGGAGGTGGGAGTCTGCCCTGCAGGCAGCAGACACTGCGGAGGCTGGCTGCGCAGCAGTACTACGAAGCAGGTCAAGATGGAGCCTCAAGGCTCAATGAGCTACAATCTGATCCATGGGTTGGCTTGACCCACAGGTAGTGCAGAACAGCTAACTCAGGCGGCAGCAAGCTGGTCTGATCACTAGGGAGAATGGGAAAGAGGCAGGCCTGGAAACATTTATCTTGTTGGTCCTCCAATCAAGCTGTGCCCTGATTGAAGGCTAAACTCTATCCACACGTTCCCGCAGAAGTCACACTGGTACCAAAAAACCTAACTATTACAAGCTTCAACTAATCCTCAGAGGTACCTGTGTTTATGCCTTCTTGGAACTGATTTCTGCTATCAGAACTACTTTTAATTGTCTTAGACCACATAAAAATAGTGTTTTGCTTCTATGTGGTTTTTGTTTCTTGTTTTAGAGGTAAGTGGGCTTCTGGTACCCTACTGCTGGTATTTTTTTATTTCTCTGTTGTCAAATGCACATTCGGACATTCATGTTTCTTCAAAATTCCCTTTAGGCAAGTGAGAATGTTGAACCAGCAACTGAGAGAACGAGGAAAAACTCAGAGGACATCTGCTTCTCTGGAATGCAGCCTCCTTAAACGTAGGTAAAATAACTTTAAGGGTTAATTTTGCATGAAGTCCTTGTAGCTCTGGAAATGTTGGTAAAGAATTGAGCTTTCTGAATGCTTTCTGTAGATGGATTTCCTCTCTTTTAAAACTTTTTATTGTCATCTGGGTGAAAGTTTATAGAGCAAATTGGTTTTCCAGCCAACAGTTGACTCATGTTCTTTAATGTCCCTCGTTGATTGCAGGCCCCACAAGGCAGTGTAGGCGTGGGGCTATGTCACTATCCACTGACAGTGTTGCATCCCAGGACAGATTTTGAAATGTCCTAATGTCCTCCTCAATTTGTCGTTCCTTCTTAGTAGGTTATAAGATTGTCCTATCCCAAATGGCTAATAACCAGTGTATTTCAGCTCACTAAAGTCTACGATAGTGATCTTTATGCATTCCATTTCATTTCTGATAAGTTCCAATTTTCCTAGATTCATACTTTATACATTCCATGTTCTGATTACTTTAAAAAACCTTTATTGTGACTTGGATGTAAGTGAAAAAAACAAACTGGTCACCCCTTCAGCAGTTCACACGCCTTTCAGTTCGTAATCTTGATTGCCATCCCCACAAGATAACCGCAGCTTCCTCCCTCTTCCCTGTCTTTGACGCTTCTAGTCTCCCTTCCATGTCTGCTCATGCCTTCTGAGCTTCACCTCGGGGGAATGCTGCCTTTCTGACCATGTATGCTTGATTGTTGTAAGGAGTGCGTACCTCCTTCTCCTAGTGTTCATGTCATAGGCCTGTCAGATGAGCCACGGGGGAGAGGGGAGGGCGGTAAACTCAGTTCCAGGCCCGAAGGCGGGCTAAAGACCATCACCACAGGGGTTCTATGAGCCTCTGTCAGACTAGTAAGCCTGGTGATTTTTATAATTGAGTTTTGTGCCTCATTTTTCTCATAGTCTATCTGGGATCTCCTATTGTGATGTCCTGAAGTTACTACCTGTCTGCTTTCTAGTTAGTGACTTACTCTCCCTACCTCTCCTGCCCTGATGACTTTCAAAGAAAGTTTATTTCTGTGTGTAAGCATTTTCTTAACTTCTGGTGATAGTGATATAATATAATATTTGTCTTCAGCCTTTGACTCATTTCACTCAGCATAATGTCCCTCAGGCTTGCCCATTTTATGAGGTATTGTCCAGAGTCTTCATTATGCTTGAGTGTTGACTAATATTCCATCTTGTGTATGTGCCATTGTTCCCCATTGATCGTTGAAGGGCCCTTGGTTGTTTCCGTCTTTCTACTAGGGTGTACGTATGTCTGTTCCTGTCACAGGTCTTACTTAGGTAGGAGCTATACCTAATAGTGGGGCTCCTAGGTCAGACCGCATTTCTAGTTCTCACTTTAGATGGAAGCATCATACCGTTTTCCATTGTAGTTGCCCCATTTTAGAGTTCCCCCAGAAGTGGATGGGGCTTCCAATCTCTTCACACCCTCACTATTGTTTGTTGTTTTCTGATATTTAACTTTGATGTTAAAACAGGGTTGATTTGTTATCACATTGTTTTGATTTGCATTCAGAGAACGACTAGACAAAACAGAAAAACCTCAATCAGAAAGAAAGCAGAAAATATTAAAAACAGAAACAACTTTAGAATGATTTGAAAGGGGGATCAAATGATAAGAGTGTCACATGTTAGCATTAACTACATCTGCCATCATCAGCTTTAAAGTGCTCTCTCTACGATAGTAAAGCTATTCACATCCCTGGATCATTTTCAGAGGGGATTCACTGGAGGCTGAATCAAAGTGGGGACCTGCAAATATACTTTGGGCTCCCACTGTCATCCAGTCTACTGCAAACCAAGTGTTCATAATTTAAGATCTTGACACTATGTCCTCCTTTGGATTTGGATTTTATTATTTACAATCCTTGGATCACACAGGCTGGTATGTGTTAGAACGGGAACAAAAGGAAAATGGACCCAGAGGATGGGTTCCTATTAACAAGTTTTATTTAGAGTTAACGACTTGCCCGGTGTATAGAATGGAGTGAGAGTAAAGGGGGCAGGGTGAGGGGACATTGGAAGATGGAGTGAAGAGAGAGCAGCCAAAAGTAAGAAAGGGAGAGCTAGGGAGAAGAAGAGACAGAGGGATGTACGTGCAGCCACATAAGAAGGAGAAGAAGGAGCGCGAACAAAAGAGTCCCGCATTAATACATTTTGGGGACAGAAATAAATTATTATGTCTCAAAGGAGCCCCCGCACCCACTACCCACCACCCCACCCTCCAATTAACTGCACCAGCAGAGCGGTGAAGAGAGAGGGGAAGGTTTCTGTGAGAGGGTTTTGAGAAGGCGAGGTGTCACATTAGGCTCAGTGGGAATGGAGAAGGGGTTAGCGATGCTGGCTATGGCTCAGAACCGCAGTGTTCCTGCTGGGCCCTGAGTGTGCTCATCCATGTGGACTTAGTTGACACTTCACTTCAGTGACTGCTTATTTGAAGACAAGCCCTTAAGACAGCATGTGCTCCTCTTTCTGACAGCCAGGCACCATCTGGTTCCTACACCACACTTGGCTATAGCACCCGTATATATCTTCAGTGATCGCTCATGAGGGCCAGTATAGAGTAGGGACAAGTCTTAAAAACTAATGGTTCTTGCATTGGTTCTGCCCATTTTACAATTTGATTGTCTTTGTTCTTGAGGTTCTTCAAAGCCTTTCTTGCCACTGCTGTTCTTGCCTTGAAGTCATGTACCACGCACCACATGTACAACAGCGACCCTGCGCCCAGTTCTGTGCCCACCTCACAAATCATCTTTATATTGGAGCCCATTATTGCAGCCACTGTGTCAATCCATGCCCATACAGGTCTTCCTCTTTTCCACTGCCCTTCTACCTGATGTCCTTTTCCCGGACTGGTCTCTCCTGTAGCATGTCCACAGCACTTGAGATAAAGTCTTGTATCTCACTACAAAGGAGCATTCTGGGTGTACTTCTTCAAGACAGATTTGTTTGCTCCTCTGGAAGTCCATGGTATATTTGATAGTCTTCACTAGCATCATATTCAAAGGCATCAATTCTTCTCTGGTCTGACCTCATTTGGCACAACATTCCCGCACATTGGTGGTGGTTGTTGTTAGTTGCCTTCAAGTCAATTGCAAACCACAGCAATTTTACGCACAACAGTACGAAACACTGCCCAGTCCTGTGCCACCTCTCAGCTGGCCCTGAGCCCATTGTTGCAGCCACTGTGTCAGTCTCTCTGCTTGGAGGCCCTCCTCTTGTTCACTGCCCTCCACGTGACCAAGCACGATGTCCTTCTGCGGGACGGGTCTCTCCTGACAACATGCCCGACGTATATAAGATGAAGTCTTGTCATCTTTGCCGCCAAGGAATGCCCTGGCCATATTTCTTCAAGACAGATTTCTCTGTCCTTTTAGCGGTCCATGGCACTTTGAACCTTCTTCTCCAGCACCACAATTCAGATGGCACAGAGCCTTCTCATGGTCTTCTTTACTCCATGGACAACATTCCCATGTGTGTGAGGCAATGGAAAATGCCATGGCTTGGGTCAGGTGCACTTTAATCCTCAAAGTCACGTCCTTGCTTTCCACAGAGTTGAATGCTTTGGCATAGTCAATAAAACACAGGTAAACATCTTTTCAGACACTCAGGAGGTCTTGCGCAGCAGATTTATGTAATGTGATGCATCTTTTGATCTCTTGACTACCGCTTTCCTGAGCATTGATTATGGATCCACGCAAGGCAAAATCCTGCCTACTTCAGCCTCTCTCCATTTATCATGATGCTCTTGGTCCTGTTGTAAGGAATTGGGTTTTGAGTGGTAGTCCATACTGAAGACTGGATTATAACCCTTGATTTTCATCAGCAAGTGCTTCAATTCCTCTTCACTGTCAGCAAGTAAGGTTGCGGCATCTGCATATCGCAGGTGGTTGGTACGCCTTCCTCCCATCCTGACACTGCAGTCTTCTTCAGATAATCCAGCTTCCCCAAGGATTTGCTCAGCAGACGGATTAAACCGTATGGTGAGAGGCCATAACCCTGACGGACACCTATTCTGATGCAGTCATGCAGCGTTCCCTTGTGCTTTTCACACAAAAGCACAATAACGTTTTCTTGAGGAGAATCCCCATTCTCCGCAAGGTTATCTATAGTCTGTTATGATCCACAGAGTTGGATGCTTTGGCATAGTCAGTAAAACACAGGTAAACATCTTTCGGTATTCTCTGCTTTCAACTAAGATCCGTGTGACACTAGCAATGATACCCTTTGTTCTACCAGCTCTTCTGAACCCGCCTGGAAGGCTCCCTGGCAGTGCTGCCGCTGCAAACATCAGCTGGGTGGTTTTCATCAAAATCTTACTTGCGTGTGAAATCAGTGGTAATTTCTCTGTTAGCATTGCTGAGCATTCTGTTGGGTCAGCTTTCTTGAGATTGGGCACAATTATGGATCTCTTCCAGTCAGGTGGCCAAGTGCTGTCTTCCGGACTCCCTGGCTTGGATGAGTAAGTACTTCATCGGCTTATTGAAACATTTCAACCGGTATTCCATCAGTTACTGGAGCCGTGTTTTGGGCTAATGTGTTCAGTGCAGTTTGAACTTCTTCCTTCAGCACCACTGGTTCTTGCTTATATGCTACCTCCTGATGATATGTCGGCCAATTCTGTTTTGCACACTGACTCTGTATTCTTTGCATCTCTTTTGGTGCTTCCTGCATCATTCAATGTTTTGCCCATAGAATCTTTCAATATTGCAACTCAAGGCTTGAGTTTTTTCCGTTTCAGATATGCTGGGTGTGTTTTTCCTGTTTCGGTTTCCTAAACTAGGTCTTTGCACATTTCATCATCATATTTGACGCCTGTTGACGCTGCCCTTTGAAGGTTTTTTTAATTTAGCTCTTTGACTTCAACATTTCTCCTCTTTGCTTTAGAGACTGTAAGACCAACTGCAAGTTTCAGAGTCAATTCTAGCATCCACTTTGATCTTCTCTCTCCTCGTTCCGCACAAAGGAGGCAGTTGGAAATACTGATGGCCTAAGGTGCGGCTCCGTCCTCAAAGTGACATCTTTGCTTTTGAACATTTAACCTTTCCTGAGTGTGACAAAAGCTTAAGTGCCACAGTGAAAAGCTTGATAAAATAGGCCCCAAGGAATTAACTTTTTTTACATAGCAAATGTAAAATATATTCAGAAAGCATTAATATGGGGGAAATTTTTAATATGAGAAAATGTAATTTTTCTTAGAACTCAATCGCAGAAATCTGAGCCCTCAGCAGACACTTGCCGAGCTGACAAACGTCACCGGTCGGTGTGTCGGAGCCACTGTCTGCTGGTGGGACCCTGGGCTCCCCAGCCTCCTGTCTTGGCTCCTGGGTTTCCTGTACCCCTGACTCCTTCGTCCATCTTCTATTCTCAGTACAAGCAGACTGAGCTTCTATAAACTGGTCTTGCCTTTCGCTTTCAATTGGTGCCCATCATACTTGAGGCAAACATTTCTGGGGGTCCAGGAGATCCTACATTGTGAGGTTCTTGCCTGTCCTTCCAGTGCCACTGAATTCTCTTCTCCACCTTGCCCCCTTGTGCCCTGTATTCCAGCCACACTGGCCTCTTGTTCATTCCCAAAGTGAAGAACGCTCTGGGCCAGCTCCGGGCGTTCCTGTCGGCTCTTCTTTTGCCCTCTTGAATCTGTCCACTTTCTTCTCATCCTTCCAGCCACAGCTTAGGCCCGGCCCCGCCCGCCCCCCCCCTTCTGACAGCTCTCTAAGTAGCTTTGTATTCTTTGTCCCTCTGCCTTCCCTTAAGGGCCAGCCTTCCTGTGTGTAATTAATGGTCTGTTTGCTTGGCCCAGGAGAGCAGACGCATGTCTGATCTGTGACTTACACAGGGACTCACACACAGTGGCTGCATTTGTGAGACGGACGGGGCGATATACGCTTAGGACCATTGTGAAAGTGTGGTAGATCCTGGCTAACGTCGAACAGTCCAGGCCTTTGTAAACGAGCACAGCAACCCAGAACCTTTCAGGGTTGCCATTCTTAAACTGGGGAAACGGATGCCATCTGTTTTGTCGTGCAGTGTTTTCTCTTCAATCATTGAACGCGTCACTGCAAAATCAGCTGCAAGAGTCACTGCAGAGCCAGGAGTTCCTACAGCGCAAAAACGAAGAGCTCTTGAACGTGATTGAAAACCAGACAGGTGAAAACAAAAAATTTGCCACTATATTCAAAGAGAAAGATCAAACTATACTTGAAAATAAGCAGCAATTTGACATCGAGACAACCAGGATGAAAATCGGTACGTGCTTGGACTGTTGTCATGATCACGTTTTTAAACGTCCTCAGGAAGCTGATTTTGCTTGTTTGTTTGTTTTGCTTTAGAATTGGAGGAGGCTCAAGTCAATTTGAAAAGTTCCCAGTTTAAATTAGAAGCTACTGAAAAGGAAAATCAGATATTGGGAATAACATTACGTCAGCGTGATGCCGAGGTAGCTCAACTGCGAGAATTAACCAGGTAATTCTTTGGTAAGCCCCTGTCCCTTTGATTAACCGTAGGCACCCCGGTGGCCCTGTGGTGAAAAAGCATGCCTGTTAACCAAAAGGTCGGTGTTCAAACCCAGCAGCCACTCCGTGGGCGGAAGCTACGGCATTTTGCTTCCGTAAAGACAGACAGACGGACAGCCTTGGAAACCCACAGGGGCGGTTTTTCTTCTAGGTCAGTAGGCCTCAGAATTGCCTGGACAACAGTGGGTTTGGCTTTGGTTTTTTGTTCGACATACTTAGAGACTGTGTTTCCCCATTTCCTCTGTCACTACGCTGTGTTAATTTCTAACGGCAATTCTTCTTCTGTTCCGATTAAGGTAATTTAGGCATTTCAGAGTAGCCAGATGCCTTCTTCAACCCGGTGGTTCCTGGTTGAAGAGGGTCCCAGCTGAAGGCTGTGTAGCAAAGCAAGTGGTTACAAGTTCCTGCGCCGAAGTTAGAGTGACCTAGAGGCGATCCCAGCCCTGCCCGCTACAAGCTGTGTGATGTCAAGCAGGCCTGTTAACGTCCCCAAACCTGAGCTGTGGCTGCTACCATGGATGTGGGCATAGGAACAACTGTGAGGCTGGCGCAGGGCCGGGCAGTGTCTTGTTTTGTTGTTCATAACGTGGCTGTGTGTCGGAACCAGTCAGATGGCACCTGGCAACAACAAGCCTTAGCTGTAAAGTGGGGGTGGGCATGGCCTTGCCAGGACGGCTAAGAAATAAAACATGAGAGCCCCTTTGCCTGCTAGGCCTGCATGTTGTATGATCTTGGGTGAGTCCTTTTACCTCTTTGATCCCCAGTCTGTTTTATTCACTAGTGAAGTGAGGGACTGGGCAGCAGCCGCAGAGAAGCCTCTCCGGGGTGCAAATTCACGAGCCATTCTTCACGACAGCGTTCCTTTCTGATTAGCCATTTGAACGACGTCTGTGGAAGGCAGTAGAAGCCATTGCCATGTGAGAGCAATCAGAAATCAAGAAGCACAGCCTGTTTTGAGATTGTCAGCCGAGTTGGAACAAATTTTGTTTCTGCTTTTTGGAAGAAGTTTGCTGATCCGTCTATCAGGGAGGGCTGCTGACTTTAGAGGTGGTTTTTCAGTACTCCAATGAGTCACCCCTGAGTGTTTCAAAAACAGTGTTTGTCTGTCCACAGGGTTAATGGCCGGCTCTTTTAAATGTAACTTGATGTAATCGTTTCATCACCAGTTCCTATTACTGTCAGTTCCTTGCACTGCTCATGATGCCATTATATCATGATTTACCTCAGTCAGTTTTATCTGTGCAAAGCTAGTGATTATGTCTTCATTTTCTATTCCAAATAAAATATTTAGAATGTAATTTTGGAAACAGACTGTGTAATTAGTAGGATGAATTCCTGCACTGGTACCTGTTAAGGAATCGTAAGGCTCTTCAGAAGTGTTTTGCCAGTTTACTCTCAGGAGGACTTTTACTGGTGGACACTTTTCACTAGTGGTACCTGCCTCTTCAGGTTTCTCAAACAATGGGTCTTCTTATTTTACTATGTGAATTTACAGGCAAAAACGAAAACCCTTTGAATTTGAGTGCCTCTGATTCAAAGCTGAACTTGTAAAGCATGCTCTTTTGGGTGTCTTTTTCTAATGAATGTTTAGCATTTTCTTACTGAGTTATAAGAACAAATGACCCAATTCAAATAGACTGAAGATTTCTTACTAAACGACTTTACTAGAACTAATAAAAGCTGCTACCAAAGGAGGAGCTCTCTAGTCTGAAACCTCTGCTAAGACTGTATCTTTATGCCTGTATCTTCTCTTACTTAGACTTCCTAGTAATTTTTAAGGAGGCAGGTTTCATTTGACAACTGGGCAAGTTGACATTCAGAGAGGCTAGTGACGAGGGTGTGAAGATGTGAGTCCCCTCTATCACTGTTGTCCTCGTATCTGAGCCGTTGCTTATTCCTAATTATGCCAGATAATGATTTCATGTATATTTGAAATGACTAGAAATCATTTCCAATGGGATTCATCAACAAAGGATTTGCATGTTGTCCGTTTTGCTTTTGTGAGCCGTAGCCCTCCCTCTCTTACCCTGCTTGTTCACGCTAAGCCTCTTTGTACAATGTGCTTATGTGACAAAGCATTCTTCTCGGTCTTTAAATCTGACATTAAATAAGACGCTGGCCCAGTCTTTTTGTCATTTGTAATTTTGATAGACTTGCCTGCACACTTTCTAGGATTTGTGCTTTTAATTGCCTGCTTTCAAATTATGGACCAGGTTCCTTTCTTTTTTAAGATGATGAATTGTATATAAATAAAAGAAATAAGTAACCATAATAGTAATTAGTATGCTAAATTATTCTTAACAGAACTTTACAGAGCAGTATGGCAAAGCTTCTCTCAGATCTTAGTATGGACAGTGCTCGCTGCAAGCCTGGAAATAACCTTACCAAGTCACTTCTGAACATCTATGAAAAACAGCTTCAACGTGACCCAAGCCCCACCCTCACTTCTGTAATGAGCTACCTAAATAAGTTAGAAACAAATCACAACTTTGCACACTCAGAGCACCATCCTGCCATCAAACACGAGGAGAGCATGGAGCCAGACAGACCCTATGAAAATGCTTTTCCTGCCGAAGCCTCTCCGCTCAGTAACACTAAGAACGTGGAGGCAGTGCCAGCCCCTGGAGCTGTTTCTGCCATTTGGAACGAGGGTGCCGATGAGGAGAGCGAGACCAAGACTTTAGTTGAAGACGGGTCCAATTTAGATGAGACGATTTACATCCCTTTTGTTAGAAGCACTCCTCAGGAGAAATCACCACTCTCTGGGAGACGAGCTCCCCAGCCGCAGCTCTGTGTAGCCGCCCCGCAGCAACTCAGCAACAGTGGGCTTCTCTCCGAAAAGGAGAATAAACTGTGTGCATCCCTGGCTTGTTCCTCTCCAAAAGCGGATGCCGAAGATGTGCCTGAAAAGCTTTCCAGAATAGCCGACATGGAAGACAGGCAGCTCCTCAAGAAGATACAGGAAGCCATCGGTAAGATCCCTGCTGTAACTGAGCCGTCACCGGAGCAGGCTGCATATAATGGTCCCGCAGCTTCTCAGAGCAGAAACCTGGAGAGGAAAGGCAATACTGTCTCTGATGGCAGTGTTTTGAATTCTGACTTGATGTCTGATTGGAGTCTGTCTTCTTTTTCAACCTATACTTCTCGTGATGAGCAAGACTTCAGAAATGGCCTTGCAGCCTTGGATGCCAACATCGCTCGACTCCAGAAATCCTTAAGGACTGGTCTTCTAGAGAAATGAAGGCAACAAAGGAGAAAAGTCACTGAGTGCTATTTTGTTTTGTTTTTAAGTAACAGAGCTAGGCTACTTTGAATGTATGTGTTTTCTTTAGAGAAATGTATTTTATATAATTATGTGCAAAATAATAAATTGTGTGAGTAATAAATTTATTATTGGACTATATTGGCGCTGTGTGACTTATAAAAGCAAGTCATCTTAAGAGCTAGCTGTTTCCTAAGAGGAGAAAATTGTATATAACTAGGAAAGGATTGTAAGTAATCGTTTGTTACTTAGGTGTATGTATATGCATTGTATGTTAATACTCCCCTGCTGGGGTAAAGTGCAGATGGAAAGGACTGTCTGTTGTTGTAAGTGATGTTTGGAAAAGTGTCTAAGGACAACTTACTTTATTCAGATGAGTTTATTTTCTCTTGCACAACTCTGTCTGTTTGCTTAATGCCATTATGTTTTTATCTGAGTTGTTCTGTGCTACAAGTTAATATTGGTGAGCTGTATAAATATTTCTTTTAAGAGAAAAGGTACCAGTATCTCCGTCTCTTAAAGGCACCGATTGGTCCGAGAAAATATGGCTCGCTTCCTAGGCTAGCATGAATGCATGTTTAATGCCTTTTGAAAACAGGAGAAGGTCAGACTGAGATAAAAAGTGCCGTAACAGGGAACTTTTAGTTTTGGAAGTTGGTTTTTCATAAATGTTTGCTACAGAATGGACTCGGTGGCAGCGAGTATCTGTACTTGGACACGGTGGTGGTTCTAAATCGTGGCAATAGCTTTAGTTCTGCCTTTTGGAACCAATTGCTTTTCTTTAATAGTTTAGCTGAGAATCTATTCCATAACATGAACTAGGTTGATCTTTTTGCCTTTCTATACCAGCATGTCTTCACTACTCAGTGTCACCTCCCTCCATTCAACAGTCGCACTTTCAGTTCATACATGAACAGTTCATACATGCACATATCATTTCCCAAACAAAACATGTTTCAACATTCCTCTGTCATCAGTGGATGGCTGCAAGAAGCTTCTCTCAGAAATACACTTGTCTCGGTCTCATTCACATCCTTCAAAAACAGGTATAGTCAAAGCAGTGGTTTCCTTGTCACCTAAGAGTAACTGTTGGTCTCTGCCGGAGGAAAGAAAAGTGACACAAGGCAAAATGCATGCCAACAACCGGTTGAGTGAACTGAGGGACCACACGGACATCAGTGTCCATGGCCCTGAGACCAGACTTAGATTTTTCTCAGCTACCACGACCAGCTGCTGGGAAAGGGAACACATTAGACGGTCTTGGATAGAGTGGGAGACAGACGTAGAACAAAACTCACAGTCTTAAAAATGACTGGTTAGAGACTGGTGGAACCTTTGAAACTATGGCTCTGGTCATCTTTCCGGTCTGGAAAGGAACTCAGACTCGTGGCTCGATTTTCAGTAGACAGGTCTATAATAATAATTGTGAGGTGCACACACCTTAGAAGGATTCACTTTCTGAGATCAAAAGGCCAGCATTTGCCCAAGGGCAAAGGTGGAGGGATGGAAGCAAGAAGAGTAAAGGTGATAGATAGTACACTGTGCAGACTGCAGCCAGTGAGATGAAACAAAATGTATATTGAATTGTCTGCTATATTCTTTACCCAATTAATAATAAGCTAAAAAAATAATAAAAGCTCTTGTTTGCTCTTTAAAAAATGGTAGCTTCTAGGGGTCTGTAAAACTCAAGACAAAAAGGTCAGCTCAGAAAGTTATATTTTCCCAAAGGACACAGGATGATCATGTCGGATATTAGAAAGAAGTTTTTAAGAAAACTGCATTGTTATGGAATGATGGATTGTTATAAGATTTGTAAGAGCCCCCCTCCCCCAATAAAATTATTAACAAAAGAAAAAGCTTCATTGGTGAAAAAAGGCCAGGAGAGTTGTGTCAAGGAATTCGGTTTCAATCTCAACGGGGCACCTGCTCATTCTTTGAGGGTAACAAGAGCTGCCCTATCAGAATTTCTTTGGGTACCCTTACCCCATCCATCCTATAGCCTTGTTCTTGTTCCCTCAGACTTCTTTTGGCTCCTAAAACTCAAAGGATGTCGAAAAGGAACACAATTTGAGTTCCATGGAGATACTTAAGCTGCCTGTTTGAGGTGATGTGAATTGAAGAGTGCAGCATTCTTAGGGAGAAGATTAGATGGAATCACCGCCATCAGAAGTAGAGAGACCTAGTTGGAGGACATATTTAGAAACAATAGATATTTTCATATTTTGCTTAATAAAGGATTTGTAGCAATGACTTTTTAATATAATCTGACAAGTTAGGTTTTACAGATAAAACCTAGTTTTTCTTACTTCCAGTACTGAGAAATCTAAGTCATTTTCTTCTATGTAGCAGTAGCAGGCCATACTTCTTTAACATGGAATTCAAAAGTATAGTTTAGAAATATAAATGAAAGAAATTCTTATCATCTGTGTACTGCCAGGTAGTCATATGCAGAAATAAATTCCTAAGCTTATGTGATAATATCATGAGTCTTAATTTTCCTCAGTATGGGAGGAGCATCCTTATGTGTGAAAGAAAATCAAAAGTGCTTATGGGTTCAATTAATTAGGGGTTATGAGAGCGCAGTGGTTAAGTCCTCAACTGCTGACCCGCCAGTTGGTGGGTGCAAACTCACCAGCCATATTAGGGGAGAGAGGTGTGGCATTCTGCTACCACAAATATTTGTAGCCTTAGAAACCCTGCCCTATGGGGTCATTATGAGTCAGAATCAACTTGATGGCAGAGAATTTTTAAAAGTTTAGTAAATCTCCCAGTAACATTCACTTTTCATGAATGAGATCTATTTTATAGATGTCTGCCTTACAGATTATAAAGGCCTGCATATGCAAAATAGGGAAAAATTACAACTGACCAAGTATGTATGTAGGGAGCAAGGGTGTTTCAGAGGTAGAATTCTGCCTTCCATGCAAGACACCTGGGCCAGTCCAGCCAGTACACTTCCAAGCACAGCCTCCAAGTCTCCTATGGAAATTTGTATGTTGCTATGATATTAGAACCCAAGATTTGCATGTTGCCAGGATGTTAAACAGGTTTCAGCAGTGCTTCCAGACTAAGACTAGGAGGAAAGGACTGGCTACCTCTGAAATTCTATGGTCTGCCCTAGACATAAGAATTCTCAAAGACTCAACAAGAAAACTGATTGAACTAATTGAAATATTCATCACTGTGGCAAGGTACAAGATCTATACATGAAAAATCAGTTGGATCCCTTTATACTAACAAAGAACTCTGAAAAGGAAATCTGGAAAACAGTATCATTTACAATAGCCACATGAAAGATGAAATACTTAGTAATAAATCTCACCAGAGAAACAAAAGACACACACACACACCCAAACCCCTAAAAACACTACTACAAAGAAATCAAAGGAGACCTACGTGAATGGAAGGATATACCATGCTCATGGATAGGAAGACATCATTTTGAAAATGTCAATACTGCCCAAAGTAATTTACAGCTAAAATCCAATCCCAATGCCAGCATCATTCTTTAAAATGATGGGAAAACTACCAACTTTACATGGAAAAGAAAGAGGCTCCAATAAGCAAAGTAATACCAAAGAATAACAAAATAGAAGACATCACATCCTGATCTCAAAACCTGCCCTATAGCAGCAGGTGTCAAAACAGCTGGGTACTGGTACAGATACATAGAATAGTGGAAGAGAAATGAGTACTTAGACATAAATGCATCCGCCTGTAGACCGGTAGCTACAAAACCCATTAAATGGGAAAGAGATAACCTCTTTAATATTGGTGCTGGCAAAACTGGATATCCATGTGCTGAAAAGAATGAAAGAGGACCCATATCTCACACTGTAAACAAAAACCAACTCAAGATGGATCAAAACCCTAAATGTAAAACCTAGAACTATAAAGATCATCGATGAGAAAGTAGAGACAAACTGAGTACGTAGTGTAAATACACTATCAAACGAAAACACAACAGAAGATAAGGGAGGTGACTGAGACCTAAAAATTAGACACTAAATTAGACATCAAAAATTTCACCAAAAGAGTAAAAACCCACAGACTGGGGGGAAAATGGCAATACACAGCAGGAAAGAGGAAAAAAGAATTTCTAAACCCCACGGCAAGAAAAAGGCAAATAATCCAATTTTTAAATGAGCAGAGGGCGTGAACAGACATTTCACCAAAGATGACATTCGTATGAAGGTGGCCATAAGCAGATGAAGAAATGCTCACACTCATTAGCCATTTAAGGGATGCAAATAAAATGTGTGTATAAGCAACTGTGGTGAAGAAAGCTGATGGTGCCTGGCTATCAAGTGATGGAGTCTGGGGTCTGAAAGGCTTCAAGATAAACAAGCGGCCATC